TTTTTTTCTTTAGTCACGGTTTTATGGTCACGCCGAGCACTACACCTTACACACCCACACTGTACACTCTATACCTTACACATTCACACTCACACTCACACCCACACTGCACACCCCATACCACACACCTTACACACTCACACTCACGCCCACACCCACACTCCACACTCACTCTCAAAGTAAAGAAAACTATATTTTATTGATAAAGATAACAATAATTGATTATATTCATGAATATTTTGTTGTAAAGAGAAATAGAAAAAAATCGTTTTGATGTTTTAAGACAAGGAAGACATGTTGTAATAATAATTTTTCTATTTCTCAAATGAGAATATTGAGAATGAATTAAAGCTAATATTCGGTCAATTTGATTTATAATGTCTATTGCAGAAAAAACTCTAGCAGAATTTGTCCCAACGAGATACAAGATGTGAGATGTTGAATGTATCAAGGAAGAAAGTGGATCTTTTTGGATCAAAGAAAATAGACATAAATTTTGATCATATTTGTTAATCCATTGAAGACCCGAAATCGAATATGTTGTGATACAACAGTGAGATGTGATGATAGCTGGTGGTAAACATCTACCATGACTATCCGAAACTATTAAAACTGATTGTTTTATAGATGGTAAATAGTTCATAATAGAAAATAATAATATATTGAATCAAGTAATAAAAATACTTTGAGATGTATGATAGTTGATAATTATTGGCAATAAAAAATTAAGTAATGATGATAATCAAATGAATGAATGAAAAGAAAAGAAAAAAGTAAATAAATGAAATTATAAATAAGGTGTGAAACTGAATTTTGTCGTAAGTCTTATTTCTTTTTCTCAATACAAATCATTCGAGATTATTTATAATATCACGATTGTAACGTATTATGTGTTTCTACGGCGCCATAGTAGCACATAAATTTCATAATAGAGGATTAATACAACTCAACAAGCTTTTACACTTCAGCTAGTAGAATAGGTGCTAATATTTATTATATCCATAAACAAAGAAAAGAAAAATTATAACAATAACGAATGAAAAGATGAAAAATAAGAAACGCATATTAGTTTAATGAAAATATTCAAGAATTTATGACTAATAGATAGATAGATAATTTGGCGTTGTTTTTTTTGAAATATAAGAAGTTATGTAGAAAGAATGGGTCGGAGATCACTTATATGTATCTGTGATCTTACATGTCAACATTCATCTTCTACTACGTATATTGGATGATAACCTTCGACGATAATTTTAGGTATAGATGAAAATTTGGGATCTAATTTTCCTTTGGATCCATAAACACGAGTTAGAACTTTATCTCCTAATTTTAATTGAGAATTAAGTCGATGTCGGTTATAATAGATATTTGTGGCTTGTTGTTGAAGTAAAATATTATCTCTAGATGCTTGATGAAATATACGTAATGTCTTTTTTAATTGCTCAAAATAATCAATAGGTTTATTAAATGTAAATTGTGTAGGTTGTGTATAAATTGGTAAGCGAGCAGCGCGATCATATAAAAATTCATACGGTGAAAACTTAGTCGATTTTTGCACGCCTGTATTGTAAGTGAATAACGACTGCCTGAAGAAATTCATCCCAGTTATTATTTTGAGCGTTTTGTAATTTCGATATGTGAGTTACAAAAGTAGCGTTAAAACGCTCGACAACTCCGTTTGTTTGGGGATGGTAAGGAGTGGTATAGATATGGTTATATCCGATGAGTTTCTGTAAATTTTCCATTAATTTGTTTTAGAAATGTGATCCTCGATCACTTAGTACAACAGATGGTATAACCTATTTACAGAAATACTCTTTAAATAAAGCTTGTGCTGTAGTTTCTGCTGTACAGTTTGGAAGTGCAATTGCTGGTACATATCGAGTAAAGTAGTCAGTTATGACAAGGACATATCGATTCTCGCGAGAAGTTCTTGACGAAGGTCAACAATAGTTCATGCCTATTAAAGCAAACGGTCCCTCAGGTGATGTTATAGAACGTAAGTGACCAGATCTTTTATGACGACTTATATTAAATTGTTTACACCAACGACAAGCTTTCATTTATAATGAAATTTGTTACATAATGTTATGTTAACCTGTTGAATTCCATAGGAGTAACAAAGAGCTACACATGTTTTATAATTATTTTTCACCACATACATTATAATAATTATTTTGTAATCTACTGGAATGCAGCAATAAAGAATGTTCTAGAGTGTGGATGTGGTGGGTGTCGAGTTTGTAGATATGAGTGTGTAGGTGTGTGCGCGCAAATTCGTATGCGAGCATGTTGGATTTTGTGTGGATGTGTTGGTGTCCAACAGAAATAATTTGGGACTTAAAGAGTTAAAATATATTAATTTATGATGATATTTATTGATCGATATTATATAACGATGCATGTTTTTTAGAACGACATCTATTGATTGGTGTTATTAAAATTTGTTTCTTTATAGTTCAATAAATGCATTATTTTACTATGAAATTTATCAATTTATGATGTATTAAAATGTTTTGATTTACAATAAAACTTATTGTATGATATTATGTTACAATGCATTAAATTATGATGACTTTTATTGAATCGTATCATTTAAAAATGCAGTAATTTATAATGACATTTACTATTTGATGTTATGCTAAAATTCATTATTTACAATAATATTCATTGAATCATATTATTTAAAAATGCATTATTTTGCAATGAAATATATACAATTTACGATGCATTAAAATGTATTAATTTACAATAAAATTTATTATATGATGTTGTATTAAAATACATTAATTTACGACGATATTCATTCAATGATATTATTTAAATATGTATTATTTTACAATGAAATGTATTATATTATGTTATTGTTAAAATGTAATAATTTATGATGATATGTATTGAATGATATTACATAAAAATGTATTAATTTACAATGAGATTTATTATATGATGTTATGCTAAAACTCATGAATTTACATTGATATTCATTGAATCATATTATATAAAGATGCATTATGTTACAATGAATTTTATTATATGATATTATGTTAAAATTCATTAATTTACAATGATATTCATTAAATCATAATATCAATAAATATATTATTTTAGGATGAAATTTATTGAATGATGTTATTTGAATTTATTTCTTTACAATGCATTAATTCAGAATGAAATTCATTCATTCAAAGATGCTATACTATAATTCATTCTTTTACAATGTTTCTGATTTCAATGATAATATACACTAGTGGACAAAAGTCCCGATACCAGGCAAAAACTATTGAAACAAGGGTTGTTTGTCTTGAAACTTCTGCCATGAGAAGAACTTAATGAGTACTGATCGCAGG